CACACACACACACACACACACACACACACACACTGGATCAGAGTTCCCGCTGACCCCCCAAAGAACCGGTTCTAGTTTAACAGCTTGTTCACCTGTGACAGGTGAGGTCAAAGCAGCTGCAGAGAGCAACAACCTGCAAAAGCTAAAAAAGGGGAAATGAAGCATCCACACGTTTAAAAAAGATTGATAATTATTAAAAAAAGAATAAGAATCTACTTCCGGTCACTACAGTATAAAAGAGCATTTTTTTTTCAAATAATGATAAAAACTGTTCACAAGCATATTGGAAACAACCTGACCTTTTGATTGGCAGCTTCCTATGAACCCCAAATGTGGGCGGGGTTATGGAATTTGACAGCTGTCGATCACAATTTGACAAACGATGGACTCTTAACTATGAAGCATCATTTCAGATGAAAATGCATTTTTCTATTAGATGTCAAATTAAATACATTTTTAYGTTTGATTTTATAAAAGTTAAAACTAAAATATGTTTACTTTAAAGAGAAGTAAATGTGCTTTACAAGTTTCTCCTTCAAAGACCTGTTTTCATTTGAAAACATTTGCAAAAAAACGGCACGTTTTGCAGTTTTCTCATCTCAGATAGTTTTTTAGTCCTAAAACTTTTAATTTTGTGATAGAAAATGAGAGAAACTTAAAAACCTTTAATAATTAGATTTTGGGGATAAGTGCACCTGAGCTACAAGCGTTAATTTGTGACAAAACAGGGAAACAAACTGCTGTCTCGCTCTCTCTCGTGCGCCCTGATCCAACCTGCGCGCGCCTCTCCATCCCTCCCTCTCCGCCACTTCAAAGCGCCACTTCAAAGTGGGATCAGACACGAGTGGTCCTTCCCGTCTTCAGGTCCCACGCGCCTCACGCCGTCATCAGAATGCCTCGAGGATTCTTGGTGAAGAGGAACCGGCGCGGATCCGCGTCGTACCGGTCGCGGAGCGACGGCAAACCCGAGGCGCACGAGGGGGACGAGCGGGTGGACGTCCCCTCGMTGGGGGTCTTCCCCTTCCACCGCGCGGATGGAGAGCCCCCGGAGTCCAGCGAGGGWCCGGTCCGGGACGCGTGGAGCCCGCCGGTAGAGTCCGCAATGGAGGCGGAAGCTGACCGGAGCGCGCAGCTGCCAGACACCGACGTGGACGTCCTGAGCGTGGACGGAGACTTCTCCTGCTTCTTCCCGCCTCCGCCTCCACACGAACCGGCTTTGGACGAGTCCCGCAGCCCCGTGAAACCGGTAAGCACGAGGCTGCTGGAGCGGCACGAGGAGGCGGACGCGCGGGACCTGCCGTTCCTGGTGAGACCCGCGCAAAACCCCGTGCCCGTCTCCATGGAGAGGCTCCGTCTGCACGCGCAGCCCTACAGCCACAAGTTTGACCCGAACCTGGCCCGCGTGCACCTGTTCCCCTCGCTGGCGCTGATGGAGCAGGGGCGCGCGGACAGGAAACACTCCTTCCTCGACCCGGACCGTCAAAAACACAGCGCGAAGCAGTCCAAGAAACCCAAACCGAACCGGAGGCTGAACTTCGAGGACGAGGTCACCACGTCTCCGGTTCTGGGTCTGCGGATCAAGAAGGAGTGTCCGGAGCTGAGGAGGTCGCGGGAGAAGCCGTCCGCCCCACCCGGGACTCAGCCGCTGGGGGAGTTCATCTGTCAGCTCTGCAAGGAGGAGTACCCGGACCCGTTCTCCCTGGCCCAGCACAAGTGCTCCCGCATAGTGCGCGTGGAGTACCGCTGTCCCGAGTGCGACAAAGTCTTCAGCTGTCCCGCGAACCTGGCCTCCCACCGGCGSTGGCACAAGCCCCGCCCGGCGAGCAGCAACCCGGGACCGGAGGCGAACCGGAGCCAGGCGCTGAAGGAGGCCCGGGCTCTGGTTCTGCAGGAGAAGCAGTCGGAGGGCAAAGAGAACGARCTGCAGCACCACGGAGCGCTGGACAGCTCCGCGCGCGTGCTGCTGCTCCGCCCCGACTGGAACCCGGACCTGCAGCAGCGCGTCCGGGCCGCGGACAGCCCCGGACTCCTGCTRCTCAACCCGGACGAGCAGCAGCAGCCGCCGGTCCCGTTCCTCCAGTCCTCACCGGAGGAAGAGGCGTACGAGTGCCGCTACTGCGGGAAGAAGTTCCGCCGGCAGGCTTACCTGAAGAAACACCTGGCCGCGCACGAGATGACGGCGCGCGCCTCCCCGCCCCCACCGCCGCCCTACAACCAGACCCAGGTGTTCCTGTGCCACCTGTGCGGCGCGCGCTTCCCGTCGGTGGAGATCAGAGACAAGCACCGCCTGTGGCACGCGATGAGAGACGAGCTGCTGGTCGGAGGAGCGCGCGGCGCCAGAGCGGACGTTTTCCACGCGCACAGAGAGGAGGGCGGCGGCGGGGAGCGCGAGCCGCACCAGCAGCAGATCTTCACCTGCAAGTACTGTCCGTCCACGTTCTTCAGCTCGCCGGGGCTYACGAGACACATCAACAAGTCCCACCCCACCGAGAACCGGCAGGTGATGCTGCTGCAGATGACGGTGCGACCGTAGAGTCGACTTATCGATTAGTCGAGAACTCAAACAGGCTGAAATGTCGGTTTTTTTTGTTGGATTTGTTTTTTTCTCCCTCACTTGTGTCTGTGCCTTTAATTATGAAATTAATTTACAATATTTTATGTTGTAAAACCTGACTCAAAAAACAAAAAAATACAGATAAACAACTTTTAAGTTTTACTAAAGTTCAGACTTTAATTACACAAAATGTAAATTTCTTTAACAGATTTGGCAATAACATAATTAATAGTGTTTGTAAATGTCACTTTTATTAGAAAACTGGGAGCAGAAATAATTTCATTTAAAAATGTCAAAACCTTTAAAGCCCAGTTAATTTCTGTTTTATATATTTTTTACAGAACTTATTTAATGTTACTACTGCTGGTTTAAAAATAAAAGTCAAAATAACTTTATAATCTTAAAAATAAAATGTGTAACTGTAGTTCTATGAAGCCTGGACAGTAATATTTTGATATGTTTTAAGTTAAACATGTAATTTATTCTAAATCATTGTCAATAAATGTCTGATCAATGAGAACTGCTTTGTAGTTTTCTTACATTTAAAGAAGTAAAAAAAAAAAAGTCAGCAGCAGCAGCAGCAGGGTGGTCGGAACCATTTATTGTGTGTCTGAAACAGGATGTTGCACATTGATTACATAGTTTGACAGTTTGTGGAGTGTGTGTTGATGCATGCAGTTAGTACTGGAGTTTTGAGCCATGCAGCTTGTAAATCAGTAGTTATTTACATCAGATAAACACAAACAGCTGAGGTTCCACATCAGTCTTTTCTTCCTCTCATCAGACAACAGCAAAAAGTTCCTATAAGAAAAAATAAGTGAGAAGCTTTGGGAAAACAAGGTTTTGGTTTCTGCAAAACTGATGAAATCTGAGATTTTACAGTTGGTGAATGTAGAGGATTAAAGCATCACAACAGCTGAAAATGATCCAAAGTGTTGACGTGATGAACATGAAGTGTTTGAGGTTCTGGGACAGAGTTTGGGCTTTAAAGTGAACGAGTTCTGGGTGTTTGAAGTGTTGTAACAGAGCGTAATAAAGCAGCTTCRAACTGAGAGATAATCATTTAAAGAGACAGCAGTCGGTGAAACTCAACACTCGTAAAAGAACAATATTTTACAGGATGGCATTTGGAAAAATAAAGCCCACAAACAAACAAAAACAAACAAACAAAATTCATCTGTTTTCTACAGAGAATCTATTTTTTAAGAAAAAAAATGCAAAAAACTTGAATTACATTTTCAGAAACAGGTCTTACGAACTTCATCATTGATCACTTAATCCATGAAAAAAAAAACATACGACTTATCCAGATAAATCCTAATAAAAATCCCGTTGTTTTCCAGCCTTTAGGTATTTTTTTAGTACTTCCATGTAATTTGGCAGGATTGGGGTTGTTTTACTTTAACACAAGAGCAGATTAAATAATAAAAACGAACTGATGACCTAAGATCCCCCCTTCCCCCCCCAGTTACTTCACCATAAATCTACTCATTTCATCAAACTGAAAATCACAGATTGAGAACCTAAAATCTTCAGCTAATTAAAAAAACAAAACAAAACATAATTTCCCAAATAGATCAGATTTATCTTCTATTTTTTAGTTTGGTTTTATGGTAACGAGGCGTTTCTAAATGTGAATAAAGTGCAAACCAATCAGGGGGAAAAAGGTTTGTTTTACAGTAAGATCTTCTAGTGTTGACCTGTTTTCTTTTCTTTCGTGGTTTGAGGTTCGACCACAGTTTGGCTTTGGCAGCTTTTCTCACAACCTTATATACAGAACAAACTTCCTGACACTGTACATGTTCTCTGAGATATCCACATATCTAATATATATATACATATATATTTATACTCGTATAGATATACAGAATATTTATAGTCAAAAGAACCAAGAAAGAAAAGTTGTGGTTTCTTGCTTTGTGTGACAGAAAAATACAGCATATGATATTCTCGATCTGTGAAAACACAATTTACAAAAAAATAAAACAAAATAAATCAGTGCTTGTCCATGTTTTACAACATGAGCTGGAAAGAAACAAAAATCAAACAAGTGCCTCCTCTTTCATGTGTTTTATTAAAGTGTGGAGTGTTTCAGTCTTTAATTTTTTTTTGTAAAAGATGTATGTTTTTTGTTTTCACCACAGGAGGAGGGACGGTTTACGTTCAGTCCACTAAAAAAAAGCTTCGTTGTTATCTGAACCAGTTTTTATTTTAATACAGATGAACTGAGAGCACCTAAAAATACATTTGTTTTTCTAAATTCTTGTTACTGAATGAAGCGAGTAAAAAGCTCACCTGTAACACATCCTGTTCTGTTCTCACACAAACACTCATCCAGAGTTTGTTCTCTCTGAACGTCTTTTCTAAAACACTTTAGTGTTTGTGCACTTTTTTCATTTGGCACCATTTATTTATGACAATGCTGCAGCTGCTGCGACTCATTTCATTTCAAGCGAAGCTGCACTCACAGTGGAATATATGGATATTTTAAAAGACGTGAGTTTTTTTGAGCAGAAAAAAAAAATTGAAGCAGCAGGGACACCGCTGATGGTTTCCTTCAGTCATGACAGATTGAATATTTTAAATAAACTAAACGTTTCAGCGTGAGGTGCGGGTGGAAGCGCTCAGGTCTTGTTGGCAGATCCGGAGGAGCGGCGCAGCTTCATGGACATGCGGGTCTTGCTAGTCCGAGGGGACATTGGGGACGCCGAGTCGCTCCCTGCCTCCCCAAGAGCCGGACTTTCTCCCCGAAGAATCTCTAGGCAGGAGCCTGAGGAGGAGGTGGTGTGTGTGTGTAGGCGGGAGGAGGTGGAGGAGAAATGTGACGAGGCGAGGGGGGGGTGGGGAGGATGGATAAGCAGAAAAAGGATGAGGGAACAACGAAATAATTACATCTCATCCTACAAAGGTTTACTGAGGTCGACTGAACAGATTCCCAGAGTCACACAGGACGGACAAAACACACAATCAAACAAAAAAACACACACACATAAAAACACACACACACACTCATTGCTTAGGTTTTAGGTTGTGTGTATCCTGATTACCTAAAACCACCAGACATGTTTATAACTCAGAGTATTTATCAAGGATTTGAATAAATTCAACAAATAAAAAGCTAAAAATTTACTTTAATCTGTCTACATTACCTTTTTTAATTTTTATTATTTAAAAGTTATAATAAAATAAAAAGTAGTGCAACGACAGTGCCATGTGTTGTTAAAATAATTCTGAATTCTGCTTAAAGCTAAAACAAACCAATCTTTTTTTTTCCTTTTACAAACTGAGTGTTTTTTTATTTAAGACTGAGAAGTTTTAATTATAAAACCATGAAAATCAAATGAAAGTTTCCAGCTTGTGTTTAAAAATACTGGAAATGAGGTTAGTTTAAGCTGAAAACGATAAAGTTTTTTTAAAATTTTTTTTTAATTCTTGTCGCCCTTGGATGATGTCATAGGACTTTAAAGGGGCAATTTCATGTAAAATCAACTTTTTTGAGTTTTATATCATGTTATAATGTTATACTCTCATTAAAAA